CGGGGGGGGGGCGGGCGCCATCGCCAAGAAGAAGCTGGCGGAGGTGAGGGGACCCCGCTGGGGAGGGGGCGGGCGACCGGGACCGGGACCCTCCGGGCCCGTGGGGGTCAGGGGTGCCAGGCCCCGGGGCGGGGCCAGGCCCGTGGGAGGGGGACCGGGACCCTCCGGGCCCGTGGGTGTCAGGGGTGCCAGGCCCCGGGGGGGTGCCAGACCCCACCGGTCTCGGGTGGGGAGCTGCCAGGCTCCACCGGCACCGTGTCAGGGGGTCCGGGCCCCTTCGGCCCCGCGGCGGGGGGTGCCAGGCGCGGTGCGGGGCCATCCCCGGCCTCACGCCTGCCGTCCCAGCCCTGCTCCGAGCCCAGGGTGCCCCGAGCGTCCCGGCAGCCTCCCCGCTTGCCCAGGGCACCTGGTGTCCTCCTGGTTCATCCATCTTTAAGGAGCGTCTCCCTCATCCCGTTTCGGTTTCTGGTTCATCTGTCCTTCAGCACTGTCTCCATCATCCCGTTTTCCTCTTGCAGGCGAAGTACAAGGAGCGAGGGACGGTCCTGGCCGAAGACCAGCTGGCCCAGGTGGGAGATCCCCCCCCTGCCCTGGCAGCGGGAATAGCCGTGGTGGGGAGCCCAGCCGCAAACCTGGGCTTCATTTCCTCCTCTGCTTCGGTGCCCAGAGCATTATCCACGAGCAGCGTGGATAACGATGGCACCCATTCGGCTGCCTTTCCATCCGAGAGCCGCGATGTTTGCTACAGGTCTCACTCTGTCTCCCTTCTCGAGACCTCAGCAATATCTCGTTTCTGTAGAACTGTTTCTGCCCCATGTGCATCACAGAATAACTGCTGCCCCCCCTTCTGAGCCTCCCTCTTGGTTCAGAACAGCCCTTTGCCTTATCCCCCCTGATATTGGTTTGTATTCAGTGTTACAAGTGTACATGTGGAGAATTCCGATGCCATCGAGCGATTTTTATCTTGTTTCGTTCTTCTAAAAAAGACCACTGCGGCCATCTGCACTGGGTAGGCAGCACGACAGAGACCTGAGTGTTTCTTGAGGACTCTGCTCACTTAGTGCCTGGCGGGGGCTGTGTTTACGGAAAAGCTGCATTAAGCGTTAAGACATAAATGCTTCTCTGCAATTCTCTTTCAGATGTCTAAGCAGCTGGACATGTTTAAGACCAACTTAGAAGAGTTTGCCAGCAAACACAAGCAAGAGATCCGTAAAAACCCCGAGTTCCGTGTCCAGTTCCAGGATATGTGTGCCACAATCGGAGTGGATCCTTTGGCATGTGAGGAACAGGCGCCAGGGTTCATGACTAAGGATTCGTCTCGCTGTTCTCATACTGTAAACAGCTCACAGTGAAGCTGACATTTCCGTGAGGAAAGCTGATGCTGTTTTGATTCTTGGGGTTTGTGAATTAGTGTAATGTACCTTTGGGTGTTCTTTACTTAAAGGGTGGGGGAAAACGGGTGGAGATAACCAAAATGGAGAATCTTCATTGACAGATCTGAGAGTCCTCACAGCG